CAGGAATGCAGTGAGTCAAAGGCACTTTTCCTGTTTGTTTGTTTGTTTGTTTGTTTTCCCCAGCTCTCTGCTCTGGCCAAGTCTAGCTCAGAAGTGGATTTGTATTTCTGCCGCAACAGCAGAGGTGATTGATTGTCAAGTTCATTGGCACACTGGAGCAAGTTACAGAGCTCTTTGGGACATGCACCAATGTAGGCTTTTGGGTCTCTTTTGTATCCAAGTGGGATGGGTTGCCACCAAGGTGGCTTGGCCTCTGAGAAACAAAATTGTCAACTCTTACGCTTGATGTAGGAGCCTGGCATCTGCCAGAGCTGTGAGGGTCACATCCAGACTGCTCGCAGGGCACCCGCATCCCTGGAAAAAGAAAGCTAACAACAGAAAACAAATGTATACACTCCTCCTTGGTCAAATATGCCCCAGGGACAACCTGCTGCACTAACAGTTTTGCTTCCTGCTACATTGGCTCGTGTTGGTTATTCCCCCCTTGCCCTGCCAGTCAGGCAATTGCTGCTTCCCAAAGCCCCGCACGAAGCAGCTCCCCAGGGAGGCAGTGCACCACTGCAAATAAAGCTGATGTGCATTTCAGAACAAGCCTCACGGCTCCCGGGTCAGCTCTGAGCTCCTGTAGCCAAGGTTGGCCGCCGAAGAGAACCACAACCTACTTACGCATTGGCCGTTTGTTATATGTGCCCCAGTTCTATCACCGGCAATGGGAGCGGTTTGGAGATGCAGATACTTGAACCGTGTCTTAGTTCCTTGTTAACTCTGCCATGCCCCTCCTAATACTAATAATATATGCAGGGTGGGATCCGGAGGGTTGATTTATGACATTCAATGAGGAAAAAAAGGAAACTCGTAACGGAAACGTAACAGAATTAAAAAGTATTTAAAACAACAACTGTTATTGCTGTGTGTGTGTGTGTGTGTGTGTGTGTGTGCGTGCGGCATACTTGGGTGCGGTTGTTGCTCTGAAGTGAAGCTCTGCACGATGTTACTCAATGCCAGGGGAGCTTTACTAGCAAGGAGCTTTGTTTTTGTTTTGACATTCAAGTGGGCCCACGACAAGTTTGGTCACCCCTTGCACAAGGCTGCTGCTAGGGATTGGGGGGCTGGAGGAGCCCAGTCTGTGCCACGGGCATGCCTTCAGCAACAGGGAGTCAGTAACGTTTCAGGAAAAAGTAAGATGAAATGGATGCCTTCATTAAGGGGAAGATGAATCATTGCCCTTCGCAGTCAGGAATGCAGCAGAGCTGACAGCAGCAAGGGCACGGGGTGTGGGGAGCAGTGGCTAGCAGGGGTCACAGTGGCCCAACAAGGCACCCAGCGCCTTGTGCAGAGGGTAGGAGCATGGAAAACACCTGGTATGAGCAAAGAACCTCCAACGGGGGCCAGCAGAAAGTCTGAGGCTGAGCCCCTTTGGGCTGTAAATGCCTTCTTACTGCAAGTGGCTGCTGGAAGTTTCCCTCAAACCAAAAGCTCACTCCTGAAACCTCACCTAAAAATAAGACTTGCGGGTATTTACAAATCCCTGAATCCACAGTCAAGGCTGAAATACCTAAAGCTCTTCATGTCCAGTGGCTACAGAGTCTAATAAAACCTGGGCATGTCCATAAGGCATTAGCCTGTGAGACTTCTTTGTGGTGTTAATTTTAAGCAACTCAACCTCACCGATATTGCTGTGGAGGCTTATGGCCATATGGACAAGTCAGTCTCCAGCAGCTCCACCGCATAATGACTAACCTCCATTGATTCAAGGCTGGGGCATGATAAACTTATACAATATGGTGTATTTATTTGGACCTTTTGTATGTCCTCTTTATTTCCCAGGAGCTAGACTGACAGCCCAAAATACAGCAGCTTTGATGACCTTTGGAGATCCAGCAACAAGCCCTGCAAGCAGCCAGCCTGGATGAAGACCCTCTTCTGCTGCACCTCCGTCCCACCCTGCAGCTGTGTCCCTCTTGCCATCTCCCCACCCTGCCACTTGGTCTCTGCCCTGGTGAGGGACAATTTGGGTGGTGCCATCCCTGCCAGCTGCTGCACCTAAGGCTGGCCAGTCCCCGTACAAGGGTCTCCCCATCGCGGGGGCAGCTGTTGGTCATGGGTGGGAGCAGAGCCTGGACTGGTTTGCCAGCTTTGCATCACAGCTGCTGGCTGCCTGCGAGCTGCAGTGATCTGGCCGGGGAAAGATGTGAATGGAGGAAGAAGACGGGGTTTGCACTGAGCAGTGCTCAGCCCTCCTGGTTAAGCCTGGGCAGAGCCAAGCTGAGCACTCACAGGCAGCTGAACATCTTCCCACGAAAACCTGTCATTAAAAAAGGTTGTTTCCTCCTCTCCACACCCTTGCCCAACCTGGGGGGAAAAAAGAACAAAACAGCTGGCTCTAATAGTGCTGGCAGTGAGATAAAAATGGGCTAGTCCTGCTTTGGGGAAGAACTATATTAAAAAAGGAAAGCAGTATGTA